CCTGTCCTCCGTCATGGTGCTCCCCACAGCGTTGTTTCTGCTCAAGGGACTCCCCTCACAGCAGAGGAAACGCAGCAGTGGGCACCTGTCCGCGGAGTTCACTGGTCTTACCATCCTGAAGCAGCTGGCTTGATAGAGAAGTGGAACGGCCTTTTGAAAGGCAGCGACAGCACCAGCGAGGTGACAATACCTTGCAGGGCTGGGGAAGGTCCTCCAGGAAGCCATATATGCTCTGAATATGTGATGATGTTTCTTCCAGACCCAGGAATCACAGACCCAGGAATCAAGGGGGAGAGATGAGAGTGGCACCACTCATCATTACCTCTAATGACCCACTAGCCAATGTCCTGCTCCCTGTCCCCAAGACATTGTGCTCTGCTGGCTTAGAGGCCTCAGTTCCAGGGGAGAAGTGCTTCCCCCGGGAGATGCAGCAATGACTCCATTGACACATCAGGGTTCCTCACTCTCAGGCTACCCAGAGAGTGCAGAAGCTTGGAGAGCGCCAGCCTCAGCTCCATCCTTCTTCCCTCTGTCCCCACCCCAGGGGCCAGGGGTCAAAACAAATGAGGGGCTAGTGAGCCCAGAGATTGTGAGGGGGCAGCCACCACAGGGAAGCTGCCTGGGATGGGAACAGGAAAGGCTGTCCACAGAAGCCCACATATGTCCTTTCTCTGAGTTCCAGGAACCAACACATCACAGATGCTCAGTAAATACTCATTAAATGGAGGAGGAAACCACATGACAGACGCCTGTCACCCCATGTGACCCCCAGGGTTGGAGCACATTCCTTATAGACACAAAGGCATTGGTGTCAGCATGGGAAGAGGCCACCAACTGCCCATGGTTGTGACAGGGACAGGCCTTGACCCCTTGTAGAGTCATCACGAAGGACAGGGAGCTCTCAGAGTGAGGGCTTCAAACCCCCTTCATTCCTAGAAAGTCACATCCCTCCTCATCTTTACCCTGTGAGTGACTTCTCCTGGGGCGAGGGGAGCTGGGCAGGCAGCCTGTGTCCTTCCTCTTCTCACAGACACCTGGCATGGTACAAACTCTGGATTCTCCACCCCAGCTGGAGTCACCACCAGGGAAGGAGAGAGTCCACCCTGACACAAAGGAATAAGGGGACGACTCCCCATCCACAGGGACATCCTGGTCCACAGGGACACCTGCCAGGGGTCCTCAGAATACAACTCACCAGCGAGCCCATGGTGTCCTGGGGAACAAGGGGAACTTCCCATGCAGGATGGGAAAGGGGAGCCCAGGATCTGTGGTTGCTTCCATCTCAGAGGGGCTGAGGGTCACATGTGGCCGCCTTACCCCCTGGCTGAGTCTCCATGGGGAGCTTCTCCAGCTCCTGGGCCTTGTGGAAAGGCACAGAGCAGAGAGGGACCATGGATGCAACACCCCAATGCTGTGATGAGGGACACGCAGTGCAATCTGTGGACCAGCCCCCTAAGCTGGT